AAACAGGCGAGCCACGGTGTCAGGCCAGAAAAGGCCAGGGTTCTCCACGAGAGCATGCGTGAAAGGTCAACATGAATGTGAAGGGCCTTCTGTAGCTGTTAGAAAAACCCCCGTAGCTTCTGCTCCTGGGAAAATCCCGTGTGTTCTGACCCTTAAGATGTCCATCTGTGGCCTATTTTAATAGTTCCTTCCTTCTTAGCTTTGACCTCTGCCAACAGTTATACCAGGATAACAATGTGCCAGCACTGGAAAGCATGCCTGCTTCTCTAAAATCTGACCCTCTTTGTCTTACCATCCCATGTTAGTCCCTGGGAGTAATGAAACCAAACGCAAAGATCTCTTGAAATGGAAACCACAGTTACAGACTGGTGGACACTCTTTTCTTGACCTTTCGTGTTTCTCATGGAACTGTGATCTTCCCCCAGAAAATGTCCCTTCCAAACATGCCTCTCTGGTAGAAGGGTGATTTGGAGCTGAGGCACCTAAAAAGATAAAAACAATCAACGAGAAATTAAGCAGTCTCTGTCCTCACCGTCTTTGCCAAAAAGCGCAGCACTGAGTATTAAGGTGTCTTCCTCCCCCGTGCTCTGAACACACCAGTCATTTGCAGGTGACAAGTTTAGACCCTTGCCAGCCTCCAGAGGGCACCAGAGGAACTTCATAAAGAGCTTTGTTAACCAGCCATTTCTTACCAGCTCGTTCCCCACACATTTGCCCCCACCCAACAGCTGTCTGTTGAGCCCCCCCCATCCTTTTATACTATGTTGCAGCTTCTCTTTAACTCCATTATTCACTGCTGAAAATGCTATTTTAGAGTTCTAAGTCACCCTAGTGAGACCTGCTCCCTCACTGGTGTCAACCATGGGCATGCACATGTGAAGGACACAGGAAGGCAAGCTATTTTCTCTTCTTACGCTGTCTTTTGTTATTAGGGTCCGGCTAAGAACTTAGAAAAGTCATGGGGAAACTATTTCTCACTAACGAGGCCTCCCACCTACAAGGTGGCCACCACATACGCTTCCATTAGAAAACAGTTGAAAGGCACCATGACCACTGTGGCCCTCCCTCCTCATTTCTCTCCGCCCACTGAACAGTCGCAGTCTGTAATTCTTCCCCACTGGGCACTTGTAGGCTGCGGGCTGAAGTGGAGCTTAATGAGTGAGTAGGAAGGACTTTGTAGACCACAAGGACACGTCATACCCCAGCCTGCTTTGCAGCACTTCCTTCAGGGACAGTTCTTAACCTCTGAGACCAATGGACTCTTGTGACATTAAAAAGATCTGGTTTTGTGTTTTTAAAGGTTCTTGTAAATTTTAGACTATGTGCATACATGTTCTCTTTCTTGTGTGTATGTGTGTACGTGTGTGTGTTTGTGTGTGCAGGTGTGTGGGTGTGTGAATGGGCCCTTGGAATCTAGAAGAAGACATCAGATCTCCCTAGAGGTAGAGTCACAGGCTCGTGGCTTCAGACACACAGTCTATCATGGCATTGTAACTAGAGTGTTGCTATCTGTGAGTGGCAGCAGTATTGGTGGTTGTTTATTCATATCATGGTGGGCAGGAAAACAGAAAGCTGGACCAGAACTGGAGATGACTGTGACTTCCAATGTCCCATTCTCAATAGCCTATGTAGACTAGCTAAGCACATGACCCAAAGGTCACACAATCAACACAGACCATATAGACCAACTAAGTACATGACCCAAAGACCTCACAGTTAACAAAGACCATGTGGACCAACTAAGCACATGACCCAAAGGCCACACAACCAGCACAGACCATGTGGACCAGCTAAGCACCATGACCCAATGGCTGCACAGCCAACACAGACCAGCCAGAGAGTGACGTTTAAACACAACAGTCAGTCAGGGACATTGCACATTTAAAACATAACAAGATCTTCTTTAATGTTTGAGAAAATTATGTCAAACATCCTTTTGGACTTCAAAATAAATAGAGTCGTGTTCTGGCTAGAAAGGTGGCCCAGTGGCTAAGAGCACAGGCTGCTTTTCCGGAGGACCTAGATTCTAATCCTAGATTCTAATCCCAGCACCCACATGGCAGATAACAACTGTCTGTAACTCCTGCTCCAGGGATCTGATGCCTTCTTCTGGCCTCTGTGGGCACCAAGATCACACAAGGTATACAGACATGCATACAACACTCATATACATAAAATACATTTTTAAAGAATAGTGTTTACATCTCAGAGAATCCATTCAACCTTAAGTTCATTTACTCATGGCAACCTATTACAAAAGAAATAGTCTATCTCACCTAATGAGAGAAGTGAACAGAAATTGTTTATTTGCATGTTTTAATCTCTCACCAGAGCATATTTTTCTTAAAAAAAAAAAACAAGGAATTTTTGTCCCATGTCCAATCATCTTAGAGAGACATAGAAGAGAAGAGTTGATTGAAAATGGTGCTGGCATAACTATAACTGGACATCAACATGTAGAAGAATGCAAATAGATTCATATCTATCACCCTGCACAAAACTCAAGTCCAAGTGGACAAAAGATAACATAAAACCAGATGCACTGAACCTCATAGAAGAGAAAGTGGGGAAACAGCCATGAACAAAGTGGCAGAGGAAACACTTCCTGAGCACAACACTGACAGGGTAGACACTAAGATCGACCACTAATAGATGGGGCCTCATGAAACCGAAAAGCTTCTGTCCAGCCAAGGACATCATCAATAGGACAAAACGTCAGCCTACAGAATGGGAAAAGATCTTCCCCAAGCCCACATCTGACAGAGGGCTGATCTCCAAAATAAAGAACTCAAGAAACCTAGACATCAACAAGTCAAATAATCCAATATAAAATGGAGTATATTCTAAACAGAGAATTCTCAACAGAGGAATCTCAAATGGCCAATAAACACTTAAAGAATTGTTCAGCATCCTTAGCCATTAGGGAAATGCAAATCAAAATGACTCTGAGATTTCACCTTATGCATGTTGGAATGGCTAAGATCAAAAACACTGATGACAGCTCATGCTGGAGAGGATGTGGAACAAGGGGCACATTCCTCCCTAGTGTGTGGAGTGCAAACTTGTCCAGCCACTGTGGAAATTAATGTGGTGGTTTCTCAGAAAATTAGGAATTGATCTACCTCAAGACTCAGGATACCAGTGTTGGCTATATACCCAAAGGATGCTCAATCATACCACAAGGACACTTGCTCAACTATATTGATAGCAGCTTTATTCATAATAGCCAGAACCTGAGAACAACCTCAACCAAAGAATGGATACTGAAGATGTGGTACATTTACACAATGAACTATTACTCAGCTGTTAAAAACAATGACATCAGGAAATTTGAAGGCAAATGAATAAAACTAAAAAAAACCATCCTGAGTGAGGTAACCCAGACCCAGAAAGGCAAACACAGTATGTACTCAGTCATAAGTAGATATTAGCTATAAAGTAAAGGATAACCATGCTACAATCCACACCCCAGAGCAATCCACAATCCACTTAGCCAGAGAGGCTAAGTAACAAGGAGTACCCAAGGGGGACACTTGGATTTCTCTGGGAAGAAGAAATAGAAGAGATTTTGTGGGTAGACTGGGGTGGGTGGGAATGGGAACATGAGGGACCAGGTAGGGATGGGGTTGGGGGAAGAATACTGAAAGAGACAACCCAAAAAAGGACATTTCAGGATCAGATAGAAACCTAGTACAAGGAAAACTCCAACTCCTAGCAATAAGGGATATGTAGCCTGAACTAGCCACCTCCTGTGACCAGGCAAGACTGGGTTGCCATTCCCAGTGGAGGAACTGGGACACCAACACAGCCACATAACCTTCGACAAACAGTCTGTCTTGCCTATGGGATGTGCTGGGGAAAGGGTGGTATAGAGATTGTGGGAGTGGCCAACCAATGATGAGGCCCCTGCCATGGGAGTGAGTCCACTCTCACACTTCCTGGAGTGCCAAGGCCCAGAGGCTGAGTGGCCTAGAGACCCAGGATAGAACCAAACACAACTGGGGGGGGGTTGTCAATGTAATGATGCCTAACGATATTCTGCTGTACTCATAGAATGGTGCCCAGACCAATAGTCGTCAGAGAGGATTCATTCATCAACTGGTGGGAACAGATGCAGAAACCCACAGCCAAACATTAGCCTGAGCTTGGAGGATCCTGCAGAAGAGGGAGGAAGGGTTGTAGGCGCCAAAGGGGTCAAGAATCTCACAAGAAACCCCACAAAATCAACTAACCTGGGTCATAGGCACTCACAGAGACTGAAGCAACAACCAGGGAGCCTACAAGGGACTGACCTAGTCTCTCTACATATATGTGACAGTTGTGTAGCATGGTCTTCTGGTGGGGCTCCTAACAGTGGGAGCAGGCCCTGTCTCTGATGCTTTCACTCGCTTTTGGGAACCTACTCCTCATACTGGGTTGCTTTGCCCAGCCTTAATACAAGGTGATGTGCTTGGTCTTACCATAACTTGATATGACATATTTTGTCAATATCCATGGAGGTCTGTCCGTTTTGAATAGAGACAGAGGAGTGGAGGTGGGTAGAGGGGAAGTGAGGGGAGGGCTTGGGAGGGACTGGGAGGAAAGGAGACAGGGGAAACTGAAGTTGTATGTAAGCTAAATAAATAAATAAGATTTAAAAAGTGGGCTGAAGACTGGAGAGATAGAAGGAAGGGTGAATGAATGAGTGGATTGGTCAGTAGATGAAAGGATAGATAAGCAGATGAATGTACAGATTTCAAACATGAATGAATGAATTGATGTATTCTCTAACAACTGCTAGAAATCATTGTCCAAGTTATAAATACAAAATATCCAAGAAGGTCAGGCAAAAATTACCTAGCTATAATTTGCCCAATAAACTAAAAAAAAAAAAAAAAGGCAAAAACCAAGATGATTTCACTAGACAGAGGCATTTCGACCTTTCCTTTGCCCTGTCTTCCCCGGAGACTCAGTCAGTTGACTTACCATCCCTACCCACTCGTGTGGTAAGGCAGTATGTCACCAGCACCCCACTCACACCTCTCAATGGCGATGACACCTGTGGCCCCCCCGAGATGTTCCACCAGGAGGTGTTTGAGGGGTAGCTAAGAGGGAGCTCCGAGTGGGTGGAGGAATCGGTACGCGTCAGGACACAGAGCTACAGCCTCCTCCCTTCAAAAGCCTGCCTGTACCTCAGCACCTACAGGAAGCTGTCAAAGGGTGTGTTTGTCGCAGCCAGCATGTGGTGGGGAGTTCTCAGCTTGCTGACTTGGGTCCCGTTGCAAGGTAAGGACTTAGAATGAACAGGGTTTTTGTTTTGGTTTGTATTTTGCTCAGCAGACTTAACATTTTTTACTAAACTTACCTGTCAGTCTACTGTGTTCATGAAGGACCTACTATGGAAGACAACTCAGGTAATTTTGCTAATACTTCTCTAGCTGAACTGAGCCCACACGCCCGGATACTGTGCCTTTTATGTCTCCTGTCAGCTGCTCTTCGGGGACTAGGGACAGTATGGCACGCAGCTGTGGATCTGGTACTGTGAAACGTAACTGGCTTCCTCGTCAAAATGTCCTTGTGTACAAGTCATTGTCAAATATTTTAATTTCTCTAAATTCAGCTTTTTCATCTTTAGATGAAGATGTTACTAAAAGTTTGGCCTGTCACACTCTTCATTATAAGAACATCTCAAATGCAAAAGCTCCTTGAAAGTGGCAAGGCACTACTCAATTCTAGTTTACTTCAGAGAGAATAAGATCCTGGTGAAAACTAGCTACTTTTAAGTATACATTTGTTTTTAATTCTATGCGTATGAAAGTTTTGTCTGCCTTAGTCTGTGTACCATGTGCACGCAGTGTCCGAGGGGAGCAGAGTGGAAGTCGAATCTTTGGGAACTAGAGTTACAGATGGCCTTGAGCTGTCACGTGAGCTGGCAATGAACCCAAGTCCTCTGCAAGAGCAGCCAGTGCTCTTAACAGCTGGGTCATCTCTCCAGCCCTAAAGGCCACGTACTTTATAGAAATAAATCAGTCCTACTTCACATTTTGCTATAGTTTGGTTTTTGAAGCCTAATTCTACCATAGAGTTATGAACATTAGAGAAAGGGGCAGTGACCTTTTGGGCTTAGGTCACATTAGTCCTACCCAAAAGTAGGGGAAAGGGTGAGGGATCATTTCCTGGTGTCACAGATGGTCCTTGTGTCAGATAGATGGGAAGGGACCACATACAGAGAGCCACCGCCAAGCCTTGCTTCCAAGTAGTGACTCTCCTGCCCGGTGTCAGGTCACGTGCCTTCCCGCTCGCTTGCTTTCATTTCGAATGGCAACCGAAGGACGCTGTTTGGATATTTGGGGGTGGGAGGGGGGCATAAAGATTTTTTTTTTTTAGTTTTACATAGTTTTTCAATTCCCTGATCTCTGTATTTCAATTATGTCTTCCTTTCCTATCCCTGTACCCTGAGGCACTTAACGAGGATTCCGTTTTAGTAACGAATGACATTAGCTTCTTGAGTAAGTGGCTTACAGAACAGCTAATGCATTCTGAAAGGGTACATTTAGACAGCCAAAATGAGTATGATTTCAATTATTCCAAGGTTTAAAGTCTTCAGCTGACCTTAACTTTTCCACGCTTCAAACATTTCCCACATTAAAAAAAAAAATTCCATAGAAATAGTTTTTTTTAAAAAAATAAACAGCAAAAACAAAAGAATCATATCTTAAGAGAAAGCTATTCTGAGCACAGCAGTGCACATCTGAAGATCAGCACTTGGGGCAGGAGAATCACCCTGAGTTCAAGATCAGTCTAGGCTATGTCGTGGATGTCAGTAATTGCGAAGCAACATGGCAAGACCCTGTCTCAAAAAATAAGAAAACAAAAAGATAAATCTAAGACAAGTCTTCCAGGACATGCAACTCGTCTGTGCACATGTATGTTGGTGCCTGCTGAGGCCAGAGGCATCAGATTCCTCAGGAACTGGAGTTACAGATATTTGCGAGTCACCCATGTATGTGCTAGGAATCGAGCTAAGGTCTTCCTGCAAGAGCGGTGTTCTCTTAACTGCCCAGCCATGTCTCCAGCCCTGAAACTCTGTCTTAGCGAGGATGAAGAACCTGAGGCTTAGACTGACTTAGATATTCTGAAAGGTTCAATATTGAAAGAACCCAAACTGAAAATTCCCCCACCTAGGTGACACAGACCCTGGGTGGGATTCGAACCACTGCTGCTCACTCTGACCTAAACCTGCTCAGGCTCCTCAGGGTCCAGTGGGCAGGAGCTGGCAGTGCTGCTTCTTGTCAACATCAGCTTCCACACAGCTGCAAATCTTCAGCTGACTTTAGCACATTAGGCAGTAGAAAAATCGCTGCGGTGGCTTCTGAGGCTGCCAGAGATTTGCAGACAAAGGAATCTCAAGATCTTGGGCCCTGCCCCTGGTTTCCAGGCTCCCGGAATGAACAATCTCAAGGGTGGATAAAACATAATGAGAGTGAGTCTGGGCGTTTTTGTTTGTTTGGTTGTTGTTTTTTCCAAATTCATTCCTCTCCCTTACACTGTGGACGATGGAAAGGTCAAACCCGGGCCATTTCCAAGCCTCTTCTGTAGCTGCGGGAAGGCAGGTGTTCTGCAAACTGAGGAATTCCTTTGTTCTCTTGCGTCGAGTCGGCCTCTTTATGATGGCCTGGAAAATGATTTGATTTTGACAAGTCTAATTGGTTTTCACATCTGCAGGTTCTCCGCCTGGTCTATCTAAAAATCCTCCCAATCTCTTTTTGTAATGATCTTCCCTGACGTGCATCTCTGCCTACTCCTCCACGAGAGCCGCAGAAGCACGATCTGAGAAATCACGCACATGCTTTTAGCTTTAATTCAGTTCAAGTCTCTATTGTTTGATGCCACTATTGCAGAGGAAAATTAAGAGCTCTCTTAAAATATTTGTCTCTGAAGATTTACATTGCTCTTTCAACTAATATCTTTAAAAATTACCTTTATTCCAGTCCCTGGGAGTCCATAGTGAACAAACAGCACACTGCCTTCACTTCTAGCCATTTGTAATCCATTCATGGAACTGTCCCTAAAACCACACAAGTGTAAAGGAATGTGCGCTTAGTGCTGAACCCATCAAAGCCTTTCAGTATCTAGAAGAGAGATTTGGTCTGTTGGAAGGAAGGAGGTGAAGGCCTGTATTCAAGTGTGTTTTTCTTTATGTGTGTGTGTGTGTGTGTGTGTGTGTGTGTGTGTGGTATGCATGCATGTATGTATATGTGTGAACATGTGTGTACAAGTGTGTGCAAGCCCAAGTTTGATAGTGAAAACTCTTCCTTGATCACTCTCCATTTAATCATTCTGAGGCAGGGTCGCTCCGTCAAACCTAGAGCTTGGCTAGGTAGCTACTTTCACTAGCCAGCTTGGTCCAGGGATTCCATCTCTGCCTCCTGTGGGTGGGAGTGGCGAAGGAACCACTGCTCCCACCAAGCATTAATGTGAGTTCTAGGAATTCCAACGCCCACCTCCTTGCTTGCTCGGCAGCACATGCTTTAAGCACTGCGCAGTACCTGGAGTCTTCTACTTGGAAGTTTTTACAAAGGTTGCAATCTATGAGTTGACTCTCCAGAAAGAAAGTCTTGGAGGAGATAAGAAAGGCTCTGTGCTGGCCATGAGGATGGCTGGGCAAGAGTGACTTTTCAGCCTGAATCTCCCAACAAATATCCCCTCACTTGGGCTACCTGGAAGGAGCATCATCAAGTGAGACACGAAAACGTGTGATGAAATCATCAGGAACTTTAGCCTGATGCCTACGCACAAAGGGAGCTATAGGAAATACTTTTAAAGATTCCTTATTTTTCTTTAAAAATTATATGTGTGTGTGGTGTGGAGGGGGGCGGGGTGGAAGGACAGAAGCATCAGATCCACCTGGAGTTGTAGGCAGCGGTTAACTGTGGGAACTAGGAACTGAACTCAGGTTCTCTGCGAGAGCCGGATGTGCTCTTTTTTAACTTTTTTATTTTATTTTGTTTTATTTTAAGAACATGAGTGTTTTATATGCACATATGCCTGTGCACCCACACGCGTGCCTAGCGACCTTCGAAACCAAAGAGGACATTGGATCCCTTGGAACTAGAGTGACGGACAGTTGTGAGCCACAACTCTGGGAGCTGTGAACCAAGCTGTTTTCTGGAAGAGCAGCAAATGCTCTTAACTGCTGAGCCGTCTCTCCAGCCCCAGGAAACAGTTTAAATGAAAGGAAGCATAATGTCTTTAAAATGTCGGTCTAAAAGCTAATGGATGATGAATTAGGGGGTGGGACAGTTAGAAGACAGTTGCTGGAATGGTTCAGCAAGAAGCAATTGGGACATTCAGTCAAGGCCACAGCACTAGTGGGGAAAGGAAGTCTGGATTGATTAAATCAGTGCTTGCAAGAGATGAGAGGCTAGTGTGCTTGTCGGATGTCTGGGTGCCATGGCTGGTGACCCCATTAACTAATGTAAGGAAATGCTGGGATGGAGCCTGTGGCTTATCTGTATTAGCTAGGAGAGCCAGAGAGACACGGGGGACAGGAAAGATCCTGGGTTCCAACTGGACACAGAGAGGCACAGGGGACAGAACAGGACAGATTCCAACTGCACAAGCTAAGTTTGGGACCCTGCAATAGACTTGTTCTGATTGATTTTGAATTTATTACATGCAACAATTGGGCATAAGCCAATTTTTAAAAATGAATATTTTCTTGTCTTTTCAGTTTCTCTGATAACCTATATAAAGACCCTCCACAGAAACTCCCCCCTAATGCTGGGAAGGGCCAAGGGTTCTTAGGAAGTCCCTGGCTTCAGCTGTGCGGGCGTCAGGAGGTGGGCGTAACTACCATGAGCCCTTTGCTTGAAAATTAGTCACACGTGCTTTGATGAGACACTATCTACCATTCTGTGGGTGGTGTATGTGTGAGAAAGAGTGTGTGCGTATGTGTGAGTATGTGTGCATGTGTGCACACGTGTGTGCTGGTGCATATAATACAAAGGTCAGTAGAGAATACTGGATACCCCTCCTCTAATGCTCTTTCCCTCATGGCCTTTGAGGCAGGATCTCCATTAAGTCTGAATTCCACTTGTTTTAGCCAGCCTGGCCTTAGCTGCCACCAGGGATCTGCCCATCTCTGAACTTCTGACATCTGGATGACAAGCACACACACACCACACAGACATGCCAAGTTTTTCTTTTATGTGAGTGCTGGGGATTTGAACTCAGGACCTCATGCTTGCTGAGCACGTGTTCTTACCCACTGAGCCATCTTCCAAGTCTAGGACTGCTAGTTTACCTGTGAGAGAGAAGAGATGATGAGGTGTCCAAGCTCCATTTCTGTAAAGTCCTGCATGATGGGGTGTTGGCAAGCCTCTATCACGTCTCCACAGCAGACTGCATACACCGTGGCCCCACAAGATTGCAACACAGTCTGTGTGCGTAGTAAGCCACGCTCTCCAGTTTGTGTGAATCCTGAGAACATGTGATGAACTGGCACCCGGGGGACTGTGAGGCAGCTCAGTGGGTTAGGACTCCTGTGGCGAAGACTTCTGAGCTGCTTTGGAACCAGGAGGTCCACACGGTGGGAAGTGATTCCCAAGAGTTGTTCTCTGACCTCCACCTGGGCACTAGGATGCACTCACCCACAGCCTTACACAAACGTACACAGCCTTACACAAATGTACACAGAGATGGAGATGTATAGCATGGATAATAAAAACCCAGAGCCAGAAATCGGGGTTCACCCTGAAGATCAGAAAAGCAAAGCAGCCAGCCACTGGCTCTTACTTCTACCTCAGACTAAAATGGCGGTCCTGCCTCCATGAACCCTCAGAATGAGACTGAGTGTGAGAGCTGGCTCCTCCCGTTTCACGTTCCTCTCTAGTGCTGGGATTAAAGGTGTGCCCACCACTGCCCGGCCTCTATGGAAAACTAGTGTGGCTCCTGGGATTAAAGGAGTGTGCCACCACTGCCTGGTCTGTATGGCTGATCAGTATGGTTGTTTCACTCTCTAATCTTCAGGCAAGCTTTACTTATTAAAATACAAATGAAATATCACGAGAGAGAGAGAGAGAGACCAGGTTTTTTCTTTGGGGGCTACCAACTAGCTCCCAAATCATGAAACAGAGACTTATCATTAGTTTTGAATGCTCAGTCTGACCTCTTTCCTGGGTAGCTCTTTTAACTTAAATTAACCTGTTTCTCTTTACTTTTTACTTTTCTTTCCTTCTGTATATCTTACTTTCGCTGCTTCTTGTGTCTGACTGCCTGGCAGCTGCCTGGCTTCTGGCCCCGGGAACTCCCTGTTCTCTCCTCCTCCCCCTCCTTTTCTCCTCTCCTCCTTCCCCCCTTTTCTTTTGAGCCTAGATTTCTCCTCCTATCTATTTTCTGTCCTCCTGCCCCACCTATCCTTTCTCTGCCTAGCTATTGGCTGTTCAGGTCTTCATTAGACTAATTAGGTGCCTTAGGCAGACAAAGAGAAACAAATGCAACACATCTTTACATAATTAAACAAATGTAGCATAAACAAAGGTAACACACCTTTACACAGCTAAAGTAATATTCCACAGCATAAACAAATGTAACACCTCTTTCCATAGTTGAATATTCCACAGTGGATAGGTAGGTAGGTAGTAGATAGATAGATAGATAGATAGATAGATAGATAGATAGATAGATAGATAGATGATAGATAGATAGATGATAGATAGGTAATAGATATTATTATATTAATAAATACTTGTAATCATCTTTTTAAAGGACAAGAAAAGAAGAAAAAAGTCCATTGGATCAGTTCCAACGCTGTAAAAATAACTGTACTTCATGCATTTGCACCATAACGAAATCTCCGAACCACACAGTCCATAAGAAAAGACTCAAAAGGTGGCCTTGTAACACATGGCCATTCATGGCTACATGCATCCAGTCACTGAGCTAACCAAGCCCAGAAGACAGTCATCCACTCAGTCAGCACGACCTAAGCAGGAGGCGGTGAGACCTTACAGCCACTCATTGCTGAGTCCCACATAGGGCTGATCTACAGACGAGAGAGTGAAGCAGACCAGACAGGGTGAAGCAGGAAGTTGGCACATGCCATGCAGGGCATGAGCAAAGCTAAGGGTGAATGAGAATGCCATCAGTGTATCGCTGGCATCGACGGGGAGGAAGTGGTGAGCAAAAGCAAAAACCCACACCTCATTGCTCTGACGACAGGTGAAAGTTGGACTCCAAACTTAGGTAAAAGAAAAGTGAGAAGACAGCTAAACTCACTGTTTAGCATCCACCAGCCCGACGAGGAGCGTGCACATCTCCTCCTCGGAAGGCTCCTCCCTCAGGACTCCGCACAGCCTCTTCCTCTTGCACCCTCTGACAGACCTAGACATCCCAAGTAATATTTAAATTATTTTAAGCAAAGCTGGGTGGGCCTGTGGCTTCGTGATAGGCTAGTCTTCTTTTCTACACCAATTTCCTGCTGCAGGATCAAACTTGGAGCCAAAATAAGAACAGTAAAGCCCAAAGCAAGGAGTGGTGGCACAGCCGAGCTCTGCCCCACAGTAGCAGATCTTCCCATAGCCGTCTCTGGTGCCAACAGACGTGGTCAGTCTGACCAGCAGCCACACACATTAAGTTCTCAGCAGCAAAAGCAACTGCTAGTGAGCTTAGGGTGAATAGTACCTCCACTTTGCTATAAAGCCACAGTGCAGTTTATCATAATCTAACGAAGTTGTCGGAGTCTGCTGACTCTCTTTAATTCATGAGCATGAGATTATTTCCCATGAGGAGACCCAAGCAGAATTCTGGCTGCCAGCCTCATTGCTTATTTTTGAAAACACGGATGTCTTGATTACTTAGTTACTTAGTGATTGAGACTAAGGCCTGTGCCACGCTAGGCACAGACTCCACCATCGGAGCTGTGCCTGCAGCTCCACAGATCTCTTTGTGTGTGTGTGTGTGTGTGTGTGTGTGTGTGTGTGTGTACATATTTAAGTAGATGTGTGCACAGGTATGTGTGGACGTGTGTGTATAAGTCTGTGAAAGCCAGAGGTAAACGTTGAGTATATTCAACATCACTCTATACTTTTTTTGTTTTATTTTGTTTTGTTTTGTTTTAAGACAGGCTGTCTCTTTGAACCCGGAGCTCATGAATTATGCTAGATTGGCTGGCAGCAAGCCCCAGGGGTTCTCCTGTCCCCAGCTCCACGGGACTGGGATTGCAGGTGACTACTCTGTGCCTGTTATATATATATTTTTACTGGGTGCTGGGGTCCAAGCTCAGATTCCCCGGGTTGCACGGCAAGCTCTTTACAGCCTAAGCCATCTCTCTAGCCTCACAATGGCGCATTGTTCTTTTTCTGCATTGGCTGATGGTACAGGTGTTTGTCAGCTAGAACTAAAACCGTTTTCCCATGAGAAGCAGTATGAATACCACACACAGACTCGGGGTTATTCTTGCTTTAGCCAAATGGAAATTAAGGACTAAAGATGGAATGCACAAAAAAAATAAAATAAACAAATAAAATAAAGGCTGTCCTAGTGCGTCCCCAGAGCTCCCCCAAAGCATTGTTCCTGATATTTAAAATGATCGCAAGGAGGCTGGGTATAGTGTGCATGTCTGTAATTCCAGCACTTGGGAGGCTGGGACAGGAGGGCCAGGAGCTCAGGACCAGCTTGGGCCATGTAGTGAGTGCAAGGAGGATCTGGGCTACACGAGACATTGTTTCAAAAAAGATTTTTTTTCACAGTGTGTGTTATCAGGAGGAAATAGCTTCCTTCCTTTTTTTCTTTCTTCAATTTTAGGTTGAAGATAGGGCTGTAAAGCATTTGCTATTCATAATTTATAGGTGTAGCAATTCTTCTAGTTGGGTAATTTTTACACCCTCCTGGGTAAGAATTACATTAATACCAAGGAAAAACAGTTTAGTTTAAAACTAATGAACGATGATGCGATGATGAATGTGCCAATTCAGTTTTTTAAAAAAAAAGGAAAAAAGTTTTTTCTTCTTTTATGTTCTTTCTGGGACAATAAAATTGTCACTGTTTAGAGTCAATTCTTCATCATTCTTGGGGGAGGGTTGTGATTTGGGCAAATTAAACTCATACATTTGCTGGAGAAAGTCCCTCTGTGGGAGAAGCTAACTGGGGTGGATCTGCATAACTCCCAGTGACCAACTGCCCCAACAAGTCACTAGAGCTTCATTTTGTGTGTGTGTGTGTGTGTGTGTGTGTGTGTGTTTGCGCGTGTGTGAGTATGTGCGTGCACACAGGCATGCATGCATGTGTGGTGGGGATTCAAAGCAGGGCTTCTCCATTGCTAGGAAGCACCTTGTCACTGAGCAACACCAGGACCTGCAATTTCTCCCCCACAGGTTCATACACAGCTGATATAACACACAAATTTGCAAATCATCCATTTTATAAATTGAGTGGATGCCCAGAGTTCTGGCAGTTCCTCGCTCTGATAGACCTATGTAGTTACAGAGGTGTGGACTAAGTCCACACCCTGAGTACAGATTCCAGTCACCTATGACCTTGAGCCTGCTGGGTTCACTCAACTGTAGCGTGAACAGCAGACTTCTTTTCTCTGGGCCTGGGCAGTGGCTTTTGCTACCAGGGCACTTGCTGCCAGGTTTGACAACCTCAATCATGCGACTCACTTGGCAGAGGAACAAATTGAGTACTTGGGGTTGTTCTCTGACGACCACACCTCATGTACACCTGCGTGCTGTCTGACCCGCCCCATCTCTGCATCCACAGCAGCCCTTCTGAACATGGAAACCATCACAGTGAAGGAGGGCGCGACACTCACCCTAAATTGTGCCACTTCTCCTGCGAAGAATGCCTCTCTCCAATGGCTGGCCCCTTCCGGGTTCACCATTTTTTTTAACCAACATCCTGGTAAGTGGGGTGAGGAGGGAACAAAAATGATAGACCTCCACCTAAGGGATTTCCAGCCGGGGCAGATTAGTGGCACAAAGACCCATATGAGTCACCTAAAGGGTGGGCTCGGCTCACCCACTGGATCACGTGATTTACACCTCTGAAGTTATTTGACACAGGGCGGGTTTGGGGGGGCACAGGAAGTCTGAAGTGGAAACCCCATCAGAAAGACTGTTAAAGGGGGCTCAAATTACAAAGCACCTTTCCATGCCTGCATCTCACCCCCACATCACTTTGTGACTCTCACTGACCAGGAAACACCCACACCACAGCCGTAGGCGGACAGCAGGCTGCCTTGGTGGACTCTCCTGTAGAGCTGACATATCACCTCGTGCCTAGAGCTAGCAGCAAAGTCACATTACCTAGCACCTTGTCTTCCCCCGTTGGGCTTAACACCAAGATTTCCAGGCAATGGAAATTGATGGCATGCACTTTCGTCAGGAGGACAGTCCTGCCTTTCTTATGTCACACAGAAAGTGTGTGCTGCATGCTTAAGGGAGAAAAAGAAGGACAAACTTCAGGCGCTGCTTAGACCTCAGACAGAAATTTCCCAAGATCTTTTTCCTAATGAGACCACTTGATATCTCTAATGCCCCTAGATGTCAAGGACTTGATAAATCGGATTCAGCCAAGTTCCATATATATTCACAAATAGATCCACTAAAAAATAGATACACTTTGTCAATACCGTTTAATTGATATGTTGAATATAAAATAGCCAAACAGATTGTTGTAAGCTTTACCACTCACTGTTAATAGTCCAGTAGACTAAGTAGGTACAGGTTGAGAAAGGTGGTGAAGAAGTGAACTTTGGGTGGGAATAGTTCTGGTAAACGAAGTTGTTTGTTTCTCTTTGGAGAATGGGAAGACCTTCTGGGGTTTTTGCAGTAAAACCCATTAATCCACATCAAAGGTTCTCCAGATGGTGTCATCTCGCACTCTGGTTGGCATTTGGCAACGACTGAGAATTGTTGGGGATGTTACAAGTAGGGAGTGGGGTTCCTGGGCTCAGGAGTCTGGAAGGTAGAGGCCAGGCATGCACTCAACAACCCACGCTTCACAGTGCAGCCCCTGCAGCAAAGAACTCTTGACTCCAGCGTCAGCAGAGATGAGCGCTCTCTCAGGGGACATCAGGTCCCAAGAGGCCCAGCCATCCTTTCGGATGAGAGATGTTCCCTTGGGTCGTTACCCAAGGTTTTATTCTGCTTAGACATTGTGCATTAAGCCCCTTTAACAGACTGAAGAGAAAATCAACAAAATCGCTCTTTTCAGAGCCCCTGCTTTGCGCAGTGACCTTTGACCTTCCATGAAAGTTCCAGGTCAGGATGTAAAATCAAATCAAGAGGAACTCTCCCTGTTAGTTAGAACTTTTTGGCCTTGCTTTTTTTTGCACTGTTGATTAAATCCCTAGAAGTACTAAGTTAAAATCCACAGAAATCTTCAAATCATGATGAACATTTTTCAGATTAAAAATTGAAGGTGCTTACCTGGTGTATCTATCTTCCATTGCTGACATTTGTTGTGACCGGGCAAACCATGCCTACATCAAGTTTAAGCAGCAAGCTGTGGCAAGCGTTGTTCATGGAAGTCACGGACGCCTTCTTGACTTCACACTTTAATCCCCGCACTGGGGAGGCAGAGGCAGGTACTCCGTGAGTGATCTTTTCCTCATGCCAGCTTCTTTCCCCTCCTGTCCAGCTTTAAAAGGCTCCAAATACCAGCTTCTTCACCACTCGGCCACACAGCTCTCCATCCGTATGCCCAATGTAACTCTGCAGGATGAAGGCGTGTACAAGTGCTTACAGTACGGAAGCTCCGTGAGGACGAAGCATGTGAAGGTGATTGTGTTAGGTATGTTCCCAGCAGGGTAACTCCCCGTGGGCGTGATACAGGGATGAACAAAATGCACCATTTTTATTTATTTTTTAATTTAAAAAAAATTATCTGAGGCCAGGTGGTGGTGGTGCACACCTTTTGTCCCAGCACTCTGGAGGCAGAGGCTGGAGGATCTCTGTGAGTTCAAGACCATACTGGTCTACAGATTGAGTTCCAGGACAGCTAGGGCTACACCAAGAAACCCTGTCTTGAAAAAAGAAAAAACAGAAAACAAGCAAAAAAAAAAAAATACCTGAAGAAGGGCATGTGTCGTGGGGCTCAGCGGACAATTCGAAGGAATTAGTTCTTTGCTACTGTCATTAGTATTTTCTGATGGTCATAGGTGACCCCTGGGAAAGGGTCAGTCAACCCCCAAAGGGGTCGTGACCCACAGGTTGAGAACCACTGTGTCCACAGCCAGCTTATTAGTTCTTTGAAGGGCCTCTCATTCCCATCTTTGTGATACCAACAAGGAGCACATCTGGAACCTGCCCAGATGTTCCATTCCTTCCCAACATCTGAATAAATTCAACAAATGCTTACAAGTGTGGTTCTCCATGAAAGAAAAACGCAAAAGTAGAATTGGAAGGAGGAAGACGTCAGTTCAGCTGAAAATGACTCCCAGGCCAGCAGTACAAAAAGACCTGTGGGTCCCTGGTAAAGGAAATGTTCTTTTGATGTGAGGAGGGGCAAAAGAACGGTGCTTTGCCCCCTATTTGCACAGACCTGCAAATGTTTAGAGCTAAAAAGCCAACGTCTCTGTGTCACAGCTGACATACCAAGACGTTGGAGGGCTAGTCTGTTTCTACAGCTAGCCAGTGACAGAGACGGGGCTAAAGTCGGGTCTCTCCCTAATGTGCTAGCAACTAAGCCTGTGGCATTACATCACATTCAGTCTGCCTTCCTGACGATGTCTCTTTGGGAATTCTCGGGAATTGGCCACATGCTCAGAAACAAACATTCTGACTACAGCCAGCCTGGTTCTTTGAAAGCATAAAATGGCAGGATTCTGGAGAAAGTTAAACAAGAAATGTAGCCAGGAATTACATAATTATCCCTACAGCAATTCCAGGTGAAGAGTCACTGGTGATGTGCTTTGCCAAACCTATGCAGACCAAGTGGATGGAGATCCTGTCACTCGGGAGAGTGCTTGCTATGCAAGCCTGACAAACTGGGTTGGGATGTTCACTACCCACATAAAAGCTGGGCACAGGCATCTCTAACTCCAGTACTGATGAAGAGACAGGTCCCTCCCTGCAGCTCATTAGCCCGCCAGCCTAGCTGCATCCATGAGCTCCAGATCCAGTGACAGACTGTGATCAAAGAGTGAGGATGACATCTACCGCTGGCCTCTACACACCTGTGCCCACAGACGCACCTGTGCCCCTAGACACACCTGCCGCTAGTTCAGCACAGAAAACTCCATTTTCTTCTAGTGACGCCTTTCAGGCCAACTGTGGAAGCTTTGGTTGTCAGACAGCAGAACGGAGACAAACATGTTGTACTGAAATGCTCCACAGAGAGGAACAAGCCCCCTTCGCAAGTCACCTGGCTGCTGGGGAGTGGTCTGGAGGTCTATGGTAAGTAGGTGGAGAGAAAGGTTTCTTTGTTTTCTTTCTTGCTTCAATTTCCAAGATATTTTTTTAAATGTTATGGCGCCCTCTGGTGGTGATAGGTGCCCAAAGACAGCTCCAGAGAACTCGGCCTCATAACTATCAATTCTTTGTCTAACGATGACAGGCTAATCTCAAATCACAAATCTTTAAAAAATCAGAGTAAAAATATAAAATGAGTTATTTATAAGACGTCTTAAAAATGACAAAATTCCCTAAATTAAGTGATGTAACACGGAGCATGACTTTTTACAGGGTCATGAAATTGGAAACTTATCATAGTGTGTGTACACATGCTAGTCACTTTATCAAGAGACTGTGTCCCAAGAAACCCCACCACAGGCTGAAGTCTCTTAGTGAGAATCTTTATGCTTCAGTTCACCAAACGCCAAACAACCTCCTCAACCTCAGACATACTTTGAGCACTTGCATTACCCTACTTCTCGTCAAAATCATCTATCACAAAGCATATTTCATTAAAAAAAAAAGTCTGAGCTATGCATGTATTTTATTCAACTCTATGATGAAGGCAGCTAAAACAAAGAACAATTGCCTGTACCTCCGAGTGTGTGTGGATGTGAGTCTATACATTCTAAGGTTGAGAAATCCCAAGCTGCGGCATCCTCAGTCAGGGAGTGTCTCTAACTAAATGCCTTCTTTATATGTGGATACAGTGTTGCACATACAGAAACAGATGAAAAAGTTATGATAGACAGGTGGCATGGCTCATACATGTAATCCCAGCACCTGGAAGGCTGGGGCAAGAGGATTGTGTGTTTGAAGCAAGACCGAGCTACATACATAGTGAGTCCCAGGTCAGTTTGAACTACTGAGTGAGCCCTACATTGAAAACGTCTTTGATACTGTAAGAATAAAGAACCTACCTTGTACCTTTGTTTTAAGCAAGATAACTGTAGTCTTGGGGAAAGCACACAGTGTTGGCTGACCTTTCAGTAGCTGCTGCTTTTGCTAACTGTACAATCGTCTGTCCTTAAGGGACTGTGCACTGGCAAGGAAGCCGAGGGCTAAATGGGGTGCTAGATAGAAAAGGCTTAAGTCTCAGGTCCGTCTTCCTGTCCAGCAGAATCTACTTCATCATAGAACTCCTTCATTAATTAACTTCATGTGCTCTCGGGGCTCCGTGCCCTGTGACAGTAAGTGACCCCTCTTGTGTAACCATGGTGGGCTTTGCTCTCTGCCCCAGGACAAAGGCTCCGTAGGAACGTACCCGCTCTCCCTTGCTCCCAGCATGCTGCTTGTCTTTCGGCCCATGCCCAACCCGCAGCTGCCTGGTTGTTAGACTCACCATCTTTCCCGCCTCTTCAAACTGTTGTGTAGGCGGACTCCACCACGAATTTGAAACTGATGGGAAAACCTGCAACACCACCAGCACACTCGTGGTCCACACGTACAGCAAGAACTCCACGGTGCACTGCATTATCCGGCACAAGGGCCTGGAAGGAAGGAAGCTGGTGGCTCCCTTCCAATTCGAAGATTTGGGTAAGAAGGACGTTTTTCTTAGCTCTTTAATTTGGCTTAATGTTTCTTTATTGTCCTCGCTTGCTTCCTTGTTGCTACGCTAAAACATTGACCAAAAACAACCTAACAGAAGAAAGGGCTGCGTTCATCCTACAGTTCAGCTCACATTCTAGCATCGAGGTAACTCAAGGCGGGTGCCAGGAGACGGGGACTGAAGCAGAGGCCATGGAGGAGAGCTGCTTACTGGTTTGTCCTCATGGCTTGCTCAGTCTGCTTTCTTAGAGAACCCAGGACCAATCATCAAGAGGTAGCACTGCTCATCCCTTGGTTAAACCTTCCCACATCGGTCATCAATCAAAACAATGCCCCATAGACATGCCTGCAGGCCAATCCAATGGAAGGAATTCTTCAAATGATGCTCCCTCTTCCCAAGGGCACCAAGTTGACAACCAATAATAGCCATCCTGGCTACCTATCGTCTATCTAGAACCATTCCAGATCGCCAGCAAATATTCAAGTGGGTCATTAGTATCAGCAATCAGTGGCTTCTATTTGCTTATTATCTTTTTCCTTTGATAAGCCACAGAGATAGTACAAATATTTTGTTCCCACAATCAATTTTTTTAAAAAAAGCTTACTAGTAGGGAATGCTTTAAAGCACACTTACAAGTAAGCATTCTGAGGCCTTTCGTCTACACAGTCCTCTGGGTGGGATGCAGGGAACATAAGAGTTGTCTAGGAATGTGTCATATCTAAGAATACGTAGTGATTCTGGACAGCAGGGCAAGAAGACTGGTTAAATTCTCTGGGGATTGATTGACTTCCTCGGGTTGGGATTGCAAATGAGAAGCATTTCGTTCCTATCACTAATGTGGGAGTGGGGTTTTATGCGTGGAGCCACAGTTCTTAAACATCTTTAATGCAACTGCCTTCCACACTCAGGGGTGTGTGTGTGTGTGTGTATGTGTGTGTGTGTGTGCACGTGTGCACGCGTGTGTGTGTGTGTGTGTGTGTGTGTGCACGTGTGCATGCGTGTGTGTGTGTGCGTGTGTGTGTGTGTGTGTGCGTGTGAATGGTATGCCAGTGCAGGTGTTGGTGAGTGTATGTGAGTGTATGAGTGTATCTAATCAGTCACTATCTAATCTTACTTTCTGAGACAGTGACAGAACCTGGGGTCACTGGTTGGAGACTGACTGGCCAGTGAGCTATGTGGGTCCCCTGGTCTCTGCCCTGGAGTGCAGGGAGCACAGGCTTGTGCTGTTCTGGCTTGTACCTGGGTGCCAGGGATGCTAACTCAGGTCCCCACACTGATGTAGCAGGCACTTTACCTCCACACACCGAGTCATCACCCCCAGCCCACCTTTCACACTCCTAAAAATAACAAAGAACTTTTATAGGCTGGGATTGTCTCTGTTAATATTTACCTATTAGTAGTTAAAACTGAGAAATTTAAAAAATGGTGGTTACTTTAAAATAATAAATCTGCAATATGCTGATAAACATTGCACAGTTTTATGAAAAAATGTTACAAACTTACATGAGAAAAAGGCTGTTTTTTATTTTTAAATATTTTCAATGCCCAGGTTAATAGAAAATAATGCAGTTCTCAGCAGTTTCTGCGTTTTGTTATTTCTACCAAGTCATCTTGCTTGAAATAAAAATACAATAATTCAGCAAGAGAATCATTAGATATTTGAGACCAGCCTGGTCTACATGGCAAGTTCCAGGCCAACTAAATCTAATATATAGCAATACTGTCTCAAGAAACAAACAAGCAAAACTGTATCACCATGGGTAAATGGAACTTCTGAAATATTATTTCTCTAATGGTTTTGCTGTAACTCTTCTTGCTTTCCTCAAAGATTTCACCTAAAATTCAAGGTTTTTTTAATACCTATTTAAAAATTACATATGTTTAATAGCATATTAAAATAGCAATTTTAAACCACAGAGAATTCTTTGATTAAATGAATACTGAGAAGTATCCATAAACTTCAGGAGACAATACCCATCTGTCACATATTGTCGTTGATAGGCACAGTTACATGCTTACGCATTTACAGTCTTCCTGGATGCCAGCCTTCTCATTGACTGATGAGAATGGTCCAAGCTGTCTCTCTGGACTGATCCACAGACAGCAACATTTAGTGAGTGTCTTCTTAGTAACAGGCATTGTACTAATTACCTTATGTGAATGGAATTACTACTGTGTGCATGCGTGCGCGTGCATGTGCGCACATACACACACACACACACACACACACACACACACAGAGAAAAAGCCAGCAACTGTATTTCACACAAAAGGAAAAATCTTCAGGGCTGGATAAATTAAACATCTTGCTCATGTCACTGAGGAATATGCTGATAATAGCACTGAGATTTAGCTCGCTCTGCAACCGGTGAAATGGATCATTGAGATGGAAGTATATTCCCCCATTGAAATAGGAAAATATCTACATGCAGATGGACAAACAGAGCAACTGATAGACAGGTGTGTGCAGAAGGACACAGCAAATGCCCTTTGCCAGCGACTGCCAAATGTCCTTGCACACAGGGGTCCCAGTATGCTGTACTCTCAGCCAGGTCACCTAGCAGATGGGCAAGCAGCGGGGTACAGATTCAAATCACAGAGTTGGGGCTCTGCGTTTCGGCACAGCCCCCAGAAGTGGGTAGCAGCCAGGCTCTGTGCACCATAATCTTGAGCGAGATGTGGCTAAGGCTGATCTCAGTGGTTGCAGAATTTTGTTTTTCCCCCTTTTTAGTTGCAGATCAAGAAACAGCTTCTGATGCCCCCGAGCAGAGCTCTCTCGCCTCTCAAACCCCCCAGGAGCCCACAAGTATGGGTAAGTCTCAAAATCACTGACGCATTAAAAGAAATGCCTGGTCGGAGATGCACATGTTTAGTCTACATTGAAAGAATACTTTTAAGACTTGTATATGTGTGTGGCGTGTATGTGTGTACCCATGTGGTGTGCTCACTCGTACATACATGTGTGGAAACCAGAGGTTAATGTAAGAATTTATCACTCCTTCTGCCTGTTTCTGAGTGATTAATTGATTGGTTTTTGAAACAAGGGTTCTCATTGAACCCGTAGCTCAGCATTTCGCAAACCTGTCAGAATCCTCCTGCCTCTACCTCCCAGTCTGGAGCTGTAGGCCGGGGCTCTGTGCATGAGATTTATGTGAGTTGTGAGAAACAGAACTCGAGCTCCCATGTTTGCATGGTCCACGCTTTGCCCACTAAACCATCTCCCTAGCCCTCTATTTTTATTTTTGGTAAGACCACATAGACCCCCCTCCAACTGGTCGCAGTTTTGTGGTGGCCTGGGATAAAGTCAAGTCGAGAATTCTCATGTTATGTGCTTGTGTCACTGGGCCTTTTGAGCTCAAAGATATTTGGCTCAAGGCACTTACATATCACACAGGCACACACATGACCGTGACATGTGAATTCCCGTTTTGATAAAGACAGAGCTGAAGTCATGTCGGAGACTTGCTCTTGGTTTTCTATGTACAGCATCACAAACACAAAGATTTCCCACCCACAGAGAGAGAAGAAGCAGGAGGTGGGGAAAGGAGTACAGTCAACAGCAATGACCTTTGTAGGCACATCTGTCGGTTACTTGGCTGTGAGAACACGGGTCACTTTCAACAGGATGGAGCTACAGGAAGAAATTAGAAAGTCTTGTATTTTAGATAATGGATCAGCTAGTTAACTTGGGAGAAATTATCATATAATTCATTTAGCTTTATACAGCATCGTATCTGCCAATAGTGAGTATTACTCAGAAACGGCACAGTAAAAGGACATGCGATTGAATGAATGAATGAATGAATGAATGAACGAACGAACGAACTAGTGAGTGAGTTTCCTGGTGTCTTGAGCAGGATGCTTAGCCTCCCTCAGGAGAGTATGCATTCCTGCATGTTCTCTATAATAATTCCATCTGGGAAGGTACTGTTTTTGAGTCATTATCCTGTTCCTAGTGTTCAGTATGAGATCATATTTTTTAAAATGCCATGTCCTGAATAATACTGAAAAGTAAATGTTTGGGGTTTTAAACACTGAAAAATACAATATGTACCACACAGAGGTTTTTTTGAAGAGTAGTGGAAATTGAAAACATTATGAAGCAAGGCAACCACATCCTTCCTTTAATAATTCAATATTTGTAAACGTGTTTAGAATCCGGTTGTTTGTAAATTGCCTGGCACCACTACTGAACAACTCAATTTTCTGCTCTGCATTTTCGTATACAACCTAGGGTTTAAGAGACATGGTCTCTGAAATTCTTTTCGGCTTTCAATTTCTGCAATTTTATTACTGTTAATAATATCTATTTAAGAGCTGGAGGCTTTATTCCCCTTGGGGCCACATAGTGGCGCTGTGCAATGGGCTGATAAAATACTGCAGCCAAGGAAGAGGGAATTAGAAGCATAGGCAACCAAACTGCAGAAAAGCCCTCTTATTGTTCCAGTTCATCTTCCAAAGCCTCACAGCTCGACCTGTTTCTAAAAGAGAAGCATCTGGACTTTTGACTGGCGCTGAGACTCTAGCGCTGCCCTAGAAGCTTTGTCCTCTGCATTCCTACCCAAGTTTCTCCAGAAGGCCCAGAGGCCCCCATCGTCCAGTGATTCTCTTGGAGCATCCCGTGGACCTCCTCCCTGATTGTTCCCTCTCAGGAAGGAAGCCTGGAATAATGACTTTGGGTTAGGTTCCCCAGTTAAAAAACAAACTGGGAATTCCCTGGTTGCCTCTGCTACTCCGCTGCTTCAGGACTAGGCCCTTTGCTAACTGCTCGAAACCTGTTCTTTCGGAGCTGAGGGGAGACATCACACACCACGTGCAGTGCCCGATGCACGTGAAGTGTTAATAAAGGGATGCCTTTACAAGTAAGACAAAGCAGGCTGCGGCCATTTGTGACTATTTTTGTGAGAAACTGGTGCTTCGAAGCAAAATAAGGCAGACCCAGGAAGAGAAAGGCTGTATGTTCTTTCTCATATGTGAAAGTTAAAAATGTTGACCCAAAAGTGAAAGCAAATAGAACTGAGATTATTAGTGATTGAAACTCAGAGGGGAGGGAGGGCAAAAGGGGAGAGGTTGGCTGAGTGCCGATGGATGGTTGGAGATGGGGAGTAAGTTGTCGTGTTCTGCAGTATGGTAGGGTAACTATAGTGGGGAACAACCTATCACGGAGGCTAGCGCATTGGCCCAGTGGATAAAGCATATTCTGCACAAGTATGAGAACCCGAGTTCAGATCCTTAGCCGTATGCAGTCCTGCAGCCCATGTTAATCTCAGCGTTGGGGAAGCAGAGATGGACATTTCCTCAGGGCTCGCTGACCAGCTAGTCTAGAAAGTTCAGTGAGAGAGAACCCGTCTCAAAAGATAAGATAGAGGTCAGGCACACACTTTTAAATCCAGAAGCAGAGGCAGGAAGATCTCTGTGAATTCAAGGCCAATCTGGTCTACATACTGAATTCCAGGCCAGTCAGGGCGAGTTGGAAAATGAAGGAGAAAGTGACCCAAAATTGAGGTCTGTTTACTAAGGAGCCACAGCCAGCAAGGACCTGTCTGGTATTTCCAAGAGAGAGCAAGAGGCACAAAGCTGCTTCCTTAAAATGAACTTTGTCAGGGCTGGAGAAATGACTCTGTGGCTAAAAACACTGGATGCTCTTCTAGAAAAAGCAGATTCAATTCCCAGAATGCATGTGGTTACTTACAACCATCTATAACTCCAGGGTGTCTGATGCCCTCTCTTGGCCTCCTTGAATACTTGACACTCACTGTAGAGCACAGACATGCATTCACACAAAATACCCATTCATAGAAAATAGATATATTTTAAAAGGAACTTGTTCTCTATCGTAGCATTATTCCTTTTATGTGGATGGACCCTTCTGAACCTAAACTCCTCTTAAAGGCCCACACACCCACACCATTACATGGCGAATAAATGTCAGCATGAGGATTAGAGGGACAGTCAAGCCAGTGCCATTATAAGATAAGTCACATATATGTGATCTATGTATATGTCATGTCTTACTTTCACCTTAGTCTCAGTGATGGAAAATTCCAGTTTAGAAGAGACTGACAAGAAAGAGAAAAAGCATGCCACTCAAGACCCTGACTTGACCACTGGTGAGTGTTACCCACTGGGCTTAGAACAGATGTTTGATGTTCTGACCTCTGAGCTATATGTCTAGTGGTCTTGTTTTCCGTTACCTTTCTACCCATATAACGAGTCAATCACTCCCCTGCCCCATCCTTAGTTGTCCCTTGACTTCCTTATCCTACTGCCTAGTCCTGTTACTTTTGCTCTCCACTGCATCTCCACATCAGCTAACTAACTCTACTTCTTCTGGGCTCTTTTGTTTTAAAAGGATTTCTTTCTTAATGGGTACGAGTGTTGGCCTGCATGTTTATATGTGCACCACATGTGTGCCTGGTGCCCACAGAGGCTAGAGGAAGGCACTAGATCCCCTGAAACTGAATTTACCAATAGCTGTGGGCACAGGGAGTCCAACCCAGGTCCTCCAGAAGAGCAGCCAGTTCTTAAGAAGAGCAGTTCACTGCTAAGCATTTCTTCAACCCCCTTTCTGAATTCCTAAGTGTGGGTGTTCTTGATTTCACTGCTTCACCTTGTCTCTGTTTAAACTTCAGCATTCAGGGGTTAAACCGAAGATTTCACACATGCTAGGCAAGCATTGACCACTGAGTTATAGTCCCTGCCCAGCTTTCCCTAGTCCATAGAAAGTTCACTAGCTCCTGAGCTGTTTCCTGCTGCCTATACAGAGAAGAATCCCATACTTCTTAAAGAGTGTCCCTCTGAACATCAGTCTCAATTCCGACCCATGGTCCTTTTTCTTTAAAGTTTATTACACAGTTACTTGTTTGTTCATTTATCTGTTTGTTTAGTCTGTTAATTATTTGTTTCAGAGGACAATGCCACACATGTGGAGGTCAGAAGACAACATGCATGGTTGATTCTTCCCTTCCACTGTGTAGATTCCAGGGTTAGACTCAGGTCATTGGACTTGGCAGCAAGCATCCTTACCTGCTGAGCCCTCTCACCAGCCCTTTCATTCCATTTTTTTCCATGTCTTTAGTCAAATGTCTTCTCTCCTAAGCTCAACAATGTAAAAAAAATCCAAGTGGCATCTTTTTCCCCAAATAGCTTGTTCAAAGCATTGCATACCCCAACCCTTCATTTCTCTATGCTGATACAGAGCTAGATGCATGTACATATGCACACACATGTAGCCACTGATGGCACATGAGTTCTCTTCCACGTGTTTTGTCTATGATCATAGTTACACCCTTACTATAAGCCCTTATCATCTTGTGACTTTAGCTCTTCCTCTTCTGGTCCAGGCTTAGCATCATGGAAACATACCCTTGTGCCCTTCCCACTTGTGTACTGAGAACCCTTCTGGCTTCCCAAATAGTCTATAACATGCAAAGCAAGTTCTCCAGCTGGACAAGGTGCACTCTGCTGCATACTCCTGCAGCCCTGCTTTAAGAAAGCCTGCAAGACACAGGATGCTCTGAAGGCTTTATCCTGTTCAGCATCCCTGTCCTATTGGTTCTTAATACTCCATAGCAGCAGGAGCTTCACCTAAAGTGTCTTACTTCTCTCCCAAAACTGGTGTCTACGGGAAGCTTTTCCAGTGCATGCAACCTTGGGGGTCCCCACTTATCTCTGAATTCTTAAACACACTATTCTATAAATACACACCCACGTTTCTGAGAGTTAGTGTATCTTACTTCTGTTTGCCTTTTCAATGTATTTATTTTTATAAAGAAAAAATGATCCCCTAAGGCATAAGGATTATGTCCTAGGCAGGTTCAAGTCTGTGTTCTTCACATAGTCACCATTCCTTAATTCTGGGCTTGTTGGCTGAGATGAAGGATATCTGGCAAAATTACAGACTAGTTTAGAAGGATTTTAAGAGCTCATCAAACGTATCTCCTAACGTCTTTACAAGGGCCATATTTAGCCTAGACAAGGCCTTTTGTTTTACTTGGATAGTTTTTTCCAAACCCCTTAATTCTCCTGTGCTACTGAACTACATTGTGTTGAACAAGCATTCCTCATAGCTACTAAAATGCCCAGACTGTAACCTAAGTCCGCTTTCTCTAGAAATTAAAAAAGAACTAAATATCTAAGTAATTTAGAAAATAACACACTGGTCCATGGGATTGATCTGTCTCTGTTGCCCATTTGCTTGTCTCAGAGAACTGAAAAGCATGCAGTGCATGACTTCTGGAGTAAATCTGACCCACCTCCTGAGTTGAGCTGAGCTGGGGGAGTGCAGTATATCCTCTTTGTCCTGGCTACATTCCCCTTTGCTGTGATAAAATGTTCCCCCAAAAGCTGTTTGAGGGAGAACCCATTTATTCAGCTTATAGTCCCAGAGTATAGTCTGTAATGGTGGGGAAGTCAAGGAAGACTAAGCACCACATTCCACAGTGATCAGAACCTAAACTGCCTGACGCCCTGTCATTCTCCTCACAGAAGCCAGTGCTCAGTATGCAGGCCTGGAGAGGAGGAAGAGTGGCATCCTGCTGCTCACGCTGGTGTCCTTCCTCATCTTCATCCTCTTCATCATTGTTCAGCTCTTCATCATGAAGCTCCGTAAAGCACACGTGATATGGAAGAAGGGTGAGTTGGCAGAGAACCCGGCAAGGTCCGCAAGAGCCCAACGGCTAGCTAGGGGCAATCTGTCAATCAAATCCCCTCTCTTAGCTGCTGTACAAGCTGCCCAGGAAGGGGAATCGCTCAAATAAGCAGTCATTTGTTTTCTCCCAAACGTGGGCTATGGATCTGCAGGGAATGTGTTTGAAAAGTGTCAGACAGAGAAGCTAAAGTAGCTGTGGGAGCTGGTGCCGAGCTGTAGATGCTCTTGTTGACAAAATGTTGAGCCAATTCATCCGCTCACTCAGTGAGCCTTCACTGAGTGCCCGCTACATGCCAGGAACTGTTCCCAGTGCTAGGGCTATGTGAGTCTACAGGACAGGCGATCCCTGGTCTCCTTATGTTCTAGTTATAGATAAACATCTAATGACGTTCATATTTTGCAAGAATGCACTCAGCTTCACTCATCCATAAGACACCAGCCGTTCTCTCCAAGCATTCTGATGGAAAGGTTGCCATTAAACCAAAACAATAGCAATCATAATGATACCATAGTAATAAATAAATAAAAATAAAAATATCTAGTGTAGAAGATACCTATTAAAATGCATGTACTCAACACATAACAGAGCTTGACAGGACTTTTGAAGTTATTCAGGAGAAGTTCATAACCTCATTTCATAAACAAATGTAGGATTAGAGCCCCTCTTCGTGAGGGTGTGAAGACTGTTAAAGCTGGAGAATGCGGAGGGGTGCCATGAAGGGCTGCCTTCTGGGTGTGACAGGGCTGTTGGCATCATGAACACATAGCAGCTGTGACCACCTGCATAGGAGCAGCAAATGCACAAAAAGACATGGTGATGCGGGGATGAGTTGGGGAAAAGATGAGGGTCAGCTGAAGGGGGAGAAGCATGAGAAAAGGTAATGGGGGTAAATATGATCACAATGCATTACAATACAAATCAAAAACTTAAAAACTAACCTAAAAGAAATTCTCTCCTCAATTTCGACTAATTGTCTAGCACTATGCTGTCTGTTTCAGCAGCCACAAGATGACCATCTAGTCCCTGACATGTCTTGAGTCTCTGTCAAGATATGCTATAAAGATAAAACTACCCAAGTTTGAAAAATCAATACATACACTCAAACTCAAACGTAATATGCCAGTTAACTAAAATATATTGTGAAATTAACATCTCCCCTTTTGGACTGTGATGGCTGGCGTACTTTAAATGATGGCAAAGCTGATGTAGTCACACACGGCCCAAGGACTCTGGTGACAGAAAATTCTTTATACCAACTCAAGGTCCTGCATCTTTGAATATCTCGGACTTAAAAGCATCACTCCTGATAGCTTAGTATGAGCTTACCTAGAAAGATGAAGTCATAACTCATTAGGGATGAGCCCAAAGGGGTAATTAAGAGAAGGTAACGAGGGGAAGATGAATAGCACATGCTTTCCCTCACATGCAGTCAATATACACGACATGAAAGCAGAAGGAAGACTGGGGAGGAACAGTGAGAGGGGAGAAGAGGTCTGGGGAGGGTGGTAATAGAGTGATGTGGGAGGAAAACAAGAGAAAACTTCAATGATGTATATGTATCTTGGTTATTTTTCTATTGCTGTGAAGAGATACCATGACCAATGCAACTTACAGAAGAAAACATTTAACTGGGGACTGACTTACAGTTTCAGAGGGCAAGTCCATTATCATCATAGTGGGGAGTGTGGCAGCATGCTGGAGAAGTAGCTGAGAATTCTGCATCTTGATTGGCAGGTAGAGATAGAGACGCTGGGCCTGGTGTATTTGACATTTCAAAGCGTACTCCTAGTGACACACCTCCTCCAACAGAGTCACATGTCCTAATCCTTCCCAAATAGTTCCGCTCCCGGATGACAAGCATTCAAGTATATGAGCCTCTGCAGGTCATTCTTATTCAAATCACCACAATATGCATGAAAAGATCATAATGAAAACCCAACATTTTGTCTGCTAACTAAATCAACCAGCCAGGTGGTGGTAGTGCACACCCTTAATCCTAGCACTCAGGTGGCAGAGGCAGGCGGATCTCTGTGAGTTCAAAGCCAACCTGGTCTACAAGAGTTAGTTCCAGAACAGACTCCAAAAGTTACAGAGCAACCCTGTCTTAAAAAAAAAGATAATTTGACATATATATATATATATATATATATGTCAAATTATCTTTTTTATATATATTGAGAGGTAGAGTCTGATGCTTCATTTAAGCAGTAGGCAAATGGCATGGTAGGCATGGTATTATTTCAAGGTCTATTAATGATTGGTCACCATCATTCTCTTAGGGTGCTGCAGTTGTTCGTTTCTGAAGGGCAGTGCTTGCTTCTGTTCTGCTGTCAATTGACTTCACCTCTTCCAGTGCCCCTGGGAGACCTGAAAGTGCTGTAAGATTGCACTAATGAATCCATGAGGCGCAGGAGTGCTATCTTCTTCAAGTAGCCATTTCTGACGATGTCTGCAGTGTCAGAAATTAGTAATGGAATCTTCTTTTCTTACAGAAAGTGAAATTTCAGAGCAAACTCTAGAAAGTTACAGGTCAAGATCCAACAATGAAGAGACATCTTCTTCCCAAGAGAATAGCAGCCAGAGTAAGTCCCCTGTATGACCTGACATTTGAGTGATGAGGTTCATTCATGAGTCACCATAGGGAAAGTGGGAGGGGAATAGAATCAAAATTTGATTTGATCTGATAAATTTTCATTTGATTTATGGTATTTAAGGAAATTTATCTTTAAAAATAAATGGTGGTTAATTCATGTAGTAGAAGATCCTCCACTCTAGAAAGCCTGGCTCTGGCTCCGCTGTCACACTCAGGCTCACTGTGTGGCCTGAACTGTGCAGCATCGCACACAGAGCCTCAGGCAATGAAGCACTTTCCACACCACCCTAAGCTTTATTCTGTTAGTCAGAAAACAACCGAATTCATTCTGCATCCTTGAAGTTTGTCGTGGAGCCTGGCACAAATGGAGTGTCTGGTAAATGTTCATTGAATAACTGAATTCAAGGCTTAATTAATCCAAAGAGAAATATTTGGGGTCTTTTGGATGGCTTTATTGCAATACTTTAAGCAAAATAATGATGGTAAAGACCCTGAAGGGGAAGAAGAATGTCTGGGTGTGGTGGGTGGGAGTGTGGGTCTACACACTGAGCCAGGGCAACAGTATGAGAACCAAGCCATGAACAGAGAACTCCTCATTGAAAGAAAAACATAGACTGTACTGACCTCTGCTGTTTGGTTCTGTTTGTTTGATGGAGGGCTTCTACAGGATCCAGTCTCTTAAGACATCTGAGCCTTTTTGTTTTATTTTGGCCTTCCAAGGTGTGATATAGAGAGACTAGGTTTCTTGTAGGAAAAAGACATGGTAACCAGAAGATAGATAGGAAAGGGGCATGGTGACCACATGATGGGGAAAGAGACACGGTGACCAGATGGTGGGGAAATGCGTGGAAACCATCTACCGTCCCTTGGGCTGGGACAGGGGGCAGGCGATGTCATGGGAACAGTTGCTTTGTGTAGATGCCTGTGGTGTTCTTCCTGGGCAAGGGAAAAGGAAAGGTGAAACAGCTGGAAGGGAATCATGAGCTTTAGCAGAGAAAGGAAAGCCCTCACCCCAGATGCCAGACAGGCAAATGTCCTCATGGATCAGTTTTAAGGAAATGGGATGGACCCTTGCACTCAGGACTCTCTGTGCAGATGGGGACATCAGGAGTTCGCCATCTTCACAAGCAGAAGGGTTTTCTTTCTGTACTAGTCAGGTTTGGTTTGGTTTTTCACTGCTGTGGCAAACACCTGACAGACTAAGGGAAGAAGGACTTATTTTAGCTAATGTTCAAAGGTCTCAGCCCACTGTGGTGGGAAGAGTGCGGTGGAGCAGGGCCGTTCACATCATGGCAGACCGGAAGTGGTCAGAGAGAACCCATTTGCTCATTAGTCCTCTTGCCCTGGCCTGTCTGTTGGTGCTTTCCCCCTACTCCACCCTCCCAGAAAACAACAGAAGCTCCCAAAACCATGCTTGATCTTCTAGAGACTTGTCAATAAAATCAAGTGGACTTTAAGATACGAAGCACCATTCTCCTGCCTCCGTGCCTCAAACCCAATGTTGCAGCTGTATTGTTTCATGTTTTCAAACGATTGGTCTGGGCCAGCTCCAGCTCTAGGCTTTGAGAGTTCTACCCCAACCTAATTTTTCCACACAAGCCTTGTTATAGTCTAGTATGTGGTTTTGCTGAAGACAACGTATCATTTTTTCTGCAGTTGATAAGTAGCAAAAATGTCTATGTATTTTATTTCAGGTTGATTAGCATATTGTTTATGTAGCATAAAAAGTTGTTTCTTTTTAATTAAGACATGACTATTTAGAACATTTACACATGCCAAATTATTGGTGGTTAGGTTTAGTAACTAACACATGGCCTCCAAAAAGCTTCAAATAAGTGGGTGCAGTGCTGCTCAAAACTCATCTGTGATTTGTGTTTTCCTTTCAGCTTCCCAGTCTAAGCGTTGTATGAACTACATCACACGGTTGTACTCGGGAGCCAAACCAAAGAGGAAGGCGAATGCTCAACACTGGAAATTAGAGGGCCAGCACAGTCGTGTCCCAGAGAGTATTGTGTAAGTGTACTGTGCCATAGAAGATGGGATTGCGGGGCAGCTGAAGAAGGCCCTGGAAAGGAACATAAGTACTGTGGCACATAAAAAAATGTCCTTTGAGTACCATTCAGGACAGTGGTCACTGAGCCAGGGCAGCAACATGAGAACCAAGCCATGAACAGAGAACTCCTCATTGAAAGAAAAACATAGACCGAACCTATTATTACTAACACTACTTCAGAGCCGGAAATCTCTACTAAGTCTTTTGGATCAGGGTCAGTGTGACCAGCGAACAGCTGACCTCGAAGGAAGCAGTAGACAGAGTTTTTAGACATGAGGTTGTAATAGAACTATTTAAATTGGTTTAAAATCTTTTCTTCTGGTCAAGAAGAACTTAAGGATGAGAAGAACCCAAAGAAGACCTGAGATACCAGAAGCCCGCTTTCAAGACAGGCTCTCAGAAGCTGTCACATGGACGCTAGGGAGAAACAGGATGTCACAGCGTGTGAAGGACATGAAGACCCAGAGATCGACAGTTCGCAACCCAACGACTGAATTCAGCTGCCAGTTCCTTTAGGCTTCCTTGCTAACTATGTGAGGGAACCTGGCAGACAACTTTTTAACCTGAATACACCATGATGAAAGTATGTTCAGAAGAAAACCATGAGTTTAATTAACAGATTGTTAAACTCATGAGTGGCTTTTTCTTTCATAAAGACAGAGTGTGTCTTTCTAGAGGTTGTTGTGCTTCTTGATTCTGTGTTTTAAATGATTGATAGTTCTTTTTTCTATTAAAAAAACAGTTCAGAGGACATAGCAAACTCTGGTGCACTGTGAGACATTTCTTATTATTTGGGTCTGAGAAAAACATTTTGAAAATATCACATGCACACTCACGACACATTCAGATACACTTGCACATACCCATGAACACAAGCAGATATATACACACCTATGTCGTGGATGTTTTATTGCAGGGATCCCTCCTGTGATCATTTTTATATATATTTAACATTTACAAGATTACAAAAAGGGAATGTGCAGCACAAAGGACCTTCCTCACCTCTCTAAGAGTGAATGAACTTGTTGCTCGTTACCCCTTAGTCCCTCTGAGTACCCAAACAAAGACACACACCACCACAAAATCACCACCTACGTCAAGAAAGCAGCATTGCTGTCTTCCCACTCATGGTCCTTGGATGTTGTGGTGGGTTGAATGAGAAGGGCCACCCTAGACTCATATGTTTGAATGCTTGGTCCCCAGTTAACAGAAATGTCTGGGAAAGACTAGGAGGTTGTGGCCTTGCTGGAGGTGTGTCACTGTTTCAAAACCCCACATGAGGCCCTGTCTCACTCTCTCGGCACACTGCCTGCAGATCAAGATGGAAAACTCTCAACTACTGCTCCAGGACCGTGCCTGTCTGCTTCCCACAGTGATGATGGTGGACTAATTCTCTAAAACTGTAAGCCGGCCTCCAATTAAGGCTTTTTTTTTAAAATAGGAATTGCCTTGGCCATGATGTCTCTTCCCAGCGATAGAACGGTGACTATGCTTTCCCAATTGCCCTAACTGTCCTGAAGGCCCCAATTAGATGTTTACTTCATCTTCACCTCTGTCTGTTTGGAATTATTTATCTACCTTTTTTTTTCTTTTCACGTTCTGGGTGTTTGCAACACGGGGAAATTATTTTATAGAGCAGCCCTCAGTTGGGTTTTGTCCTCGGCTTCTTTGAGATCAGGTTCAACTCACACTTTTATTGGATTCTCAAGGAACCCCACTGAGTTTTCTTTCTCAAGCATTATTTATCCCACTTATTTCCGTCGCTCATTTTGGTTGACTCACGTGGTACTGTTGGAGTTCTACACTGCAAGCCTACTCTCTTCTTTAAGTAGCTTACGAGGAATTGCTTCAAAACTATGCTAAAGTTGTCTTCCTCATTAAACTCTAGAGCTTTTCACTTATTATTTTAGATCTGTGCTTTCTTAGACTCTGGTCTACTCTGTTGTTCAACGAGTTGTTATCGGTGACTACCAAACTGATCTATTGCAAATTTCACTGTCAAACTGTGGGCACCAGCATGTGCGTCCTTCTGGCTGACATGCACCTGTCTTCAGGAGCACCATTTACTTTCTCATACTTGACCTTTAAACTTTCCCTGCGCCAGCCCTGAAATCAGCAATTCTCTAAGAATTCCTGGTCCTGTTTACTGGATGTTATTAAGTTACAGAAACACAGGCAATGACAAGAAAGGACACTGAGACCAGCTGCCCCTCAGAAATGAGCTTCTTAGGAGAGAGAGCCTTGCAAACACTGGGACCAGGATTGGGCCTTGGGGAACATTCAAAAGGATAGTTTAAAGAGAAGATGGCCACTGTGAACATCATGATGGGGGAGGCTGAAGGAAGAAGGGAGTGTATCTTTGTAGAAGTCACTTGAATAAACAGGGTACCTAACTTTTATGCTTTGGAGGGGCTGGTGGCAAGTTATTATATATATAATACATGTACATATATATTCATAATTTGGTGTGGCACTGCCTACATGACAAGGAGCTGCGTACTGGAAAGCACCATACATTTATTTACCTTGCAGCTTTGAGGGGACAGGCTGGCAGACCACAGCATGGAACAACCTTTGGACTCTGTCCTAGAGGGGCATGGTCTGATCTGGGGGAGGTACAGAGAGGTTTCAAAGACAGTCTGCAATCTAACAATGGACGCTGGCATTGAGAAGCCAGGATTTGTGATAGTTGTCATCACTGCTTTTGAAGTATCATCCCTGATAGGTCCTCTCAATGGACAGAGCTTTAAACTGTCTACATAGACTCTGTGTGTGTGTGTGTGTGTGTGTGTGTGTGTGTGTGTGTGTGCGCGCACACACACACACACACACACATTCTTGTTGGTGTATATTTAATCTGTCTATTGAAACCATGAGTTTATTCTAGGGTCTCCTTTCGGTATTCATAATTCCCTCCTCTGAGAGATGAATTTTTTTGTATCCCTAACATATTTTCCAGTTTGATCAGTTTCCTGTGAGGAGGTCCTCTTCCAGTTCTGGCACTGCCCGTTGTGCTTGGGATGTCCTTCTCCTGCAAAGGCTCCAACTCTGATATCTGTGTTTCCATCATCCCTTCCTCCGTGCAGAGTCTCTGCTCGCTAGCCTTGGGCTCTGACACCTCACACTGTGTGGCCCCTCTGTGTGGAAGTGTGTGGCATGCACACGAGAACACACACAACGTGCCATCTTTCTTACCCTTGAAGCTGACATTGTGGACAAGGGTAGCTCTCTATAGGGCACTGCCTCCTCCCTAGGCTGGGCCTCCCACACCCTCTCTAGACCTCCACATGCTCCTCCTCACACTCCCGTGGACTCCTGCTGTGTCTTCAGGAAGGAACTTGTTGGGAAGAGCATGGGAGTAGGATGCTGAGCGAGTGAGAGTGAATCAGGAATCCAGTTCAAAGACATCTGGATCTGGCATAGCCTTCATAGTGTTGTAGCATCTCTGTGTCAGCCACGCATCAAGTCGCCAGCAGTTTGAAAACAACCCAGAAGGAAACACTCTTACCTCGTAGGTCAATTAAACCTATGTTGGTCAACTTTGAGTCTATGTTTACAACGAATCCTCCCACATGGAACCCCCTGTGACTGCCCCATTTCTCCAGGTCCGTTATCAGGAACCATGTGAATGTGCCAACAGTTCAGCAACATATGGAGAGTAGGAAAGCACTTAGCCAATTGTCAGAATCCCCTGAGAGGATTTCCTAAGATGGGGATCCCCAATTCATTCCCAGTGACCACTGACAGATTTGGGGGAGGGTTTTGGAACTAGTATTTTGTAAAGACTCCACTGCAACCTGGTAGGGGAACCATGGTGGAGCACAAACCATACATTTTCAAAGCAGAGATGAACTGTCAACGCCATGGTGAGGTGATCACAGCCTCCTGGTTATCACTTTAAAGCATTCATGCCAAGATTACATAAGCAACTCAGGGTAGAAATGAGATACCAGTCCAAGCTGACCCGGCCTCAAGACCGTGGCCCCTCGGTTATCGCTGTGGTAAGATGATGCCGGGGGACATTTAAAGTGGAATGAGAGGTTGGGAGCTGTGTTCAGGATCTTTCATTTGCCCTAGGAGACTGATGATTTGGGCTACATCAGTGGTACCCCTTTCTGTTTCTCTAAAGAGAATGTGAAGTACCAGCAGGTGAGCAGAGAACACCAGATGTCCCGGGTTGGTGGAACTGACTGCCCTTTTCAACTAGAAGTTGCCTCTCTGGCCAGGTGTTTGGTTTCTCTGGTTCTGGAATCTAACTGATTTTTTTTTCATCACACCAAGTGGGCACTGGAGGATCCTGTGCAACCTTCATTTTCTCCAAAGCTTTGAATTTATAACTAACTAAATTCTATTTATAACTAACTAACTAACTAACTAAATTCAAAGCTTTGGGGAAAATGTAGGTTGCACAGGTATTAAATCCTTCATATAATCCAATTTGAGTGTATCATCCAGATGTTGCAGAGAAACTTACTCATAACATAGTTATATGTATAGATTCCTCAAATCCCATTAACTCCTGGTCTAGTTTCACAGATAGAATATTCAAATTATGAAGGAATTCATGTCAGGCGTTAAAATGTGTGGTGAGGTAAACTAATGTCCTAGAAATATTAGTAGAAGCTTTGTGGAGGAAAGAAAATGTCCCTGATGTGGTAAGATAATTCAGTAGGTAAGGCTCTTGCTTCAAAATTCTGAAGATTTGATTTTAATATCTGGGACCCACATGGTGGAAGAAGAGAAAGGATCCTTGAAAGTTGTCCTCTGACCTCCACACGTGTGCCATGACATACATACACATACACACTGAAAAGGAACAAACAAATAAATGTAATTATTTTTTTAAAAAGGTAGTTTCCTTGGATCGTATAAGATTGAGAATTATCTAACAGTGTAGCTTCAACATCCAGGACCCAAAAGTTGTCATAAAGGGTTCTGTGTAGCTTGATTTAACCCAGTTCTGTTCAGATGTACCTTATCCACAAACAGTGACCCCTGTTGTCTACGGGGGACAGTTTCAGGACCTCCCTGCCACCATCTCCCCTAACACCAAAATCTGAGTATTTTCAGGTCCCTTATATAAAGGTGTGGTATTCATTTATATAATAAATACACCCTTCAAAAATATAGATCACTTCCAGATTATGAATGATACTCACTACAGTGTAAATGACACTTGGATAGCAATTACAGTCGATTGTTTGGGGAATAATAACAAGAGTTGTACGTGCCCAGTGCAGGGCAATCTGTTTGGATCCCTAAGATTTGTTGTGTCCATTAATGTAGAATAAATACTACATGAAATGCAATAACGTAAAAAACAACACTGGCCATTGAGACATGAGTGAGTTCTTAATAACTTTCTAGAAAAAAATTGTTTGCTTACATATTTTGAGACAGGATCTTACTTTGTGACTCAAGATATCCTCAAACGTACAAACCTCCTGTCTCATGCCTGACACAGAAAAGACTTTCCTTAGTGATAAAAGGAGGCCTTCGGAATCAAAACATCCTTCTCCGAACACGTAACGATGAATGATGTCTGGAGCCACCATTACTCCTTCCCGGGGCAGGCTGCTGTGCCAAGGACATGGCAGGGAAGAGAAGGAAATCCAGTGTCCTTCCGTGTGTAGGGTGGTTGGGTCACAACTCCTGTGACCTGGAGAGCGGGCACTTATTCAAGCCAGACAAGCTGGGTCTACAGCTCCCTTCAGCTCCCAAGCCAGACAAGCTGGGTCTACAGCTCCCTTCAGCTCCCAAGCGGGGCAGCTTGAAACCCTAAAGCAGGCTGTTTCGTGTACAGTCATGATCCTAAAAAACAGGGATCCAGCGTTGTTTACTGCTGGAAGTACAGTGATGCAGACTCAGGCAAGCAGCTACCAAAGATGCAGCTGCCAAAGATGGAACTCGTGAGTAAAACGGCTGGGAACGGGACCTTAGCCTCTGGGCTCCTGTAGCACCCAAGGCAAGGGTCTGCCAGTTTCCCGACACAAGAAGCGGTTTCAGGCTCTTGTCCTCTCTCTCAGGGCAAGATGGAGGCAGAAAGGAATGGGCAGAGGCTGCTCAAGGCTGCCTTGTAGGAAGTCAGTCAAAAGAAGGCTCGTCATACTCCCCATTACGATATATGTATTCTGGCCCCAGGCATCACCCATACTATCTGTCATTAGGTGAAAATAACAGAGAAAATGACAACCACCCCACAGTCGGAGCACCCTGAAGTCACGAGGCTCCCTGTAGATGAAGAAGGTGGTTTGAACTGCTGACCGTTAATGAGCCCACTAATTTAGCCCAACAACATAATCTCCCACCACTTCCTCCAGCTGAAGTCATGGTAATTTGCTATATTCATAAAGGGGGTTTGATCTAGATGAAACGCGGGTGTATTTTTTTTTTTTTTTTTACCATCCTGAACCTTCTGAGGGAGAAGCAGCCCTCTTCCTTCCTGTAATGCATCCACGAGCAGGTCTGTCATCACCATTGAAATATGTTAATTTCCCTCGTCTTGTCTCCTCTGCTCCTTGTTTTCAGATACAAGCAGAAGTGTCTTGCAGTCTCCCCAAAACCAGTTTATGGTTTTGTTTTTGCTTTTTAAAGCCATTCTACTTAATTTCTAGAAACCCTAAATTCGGAAAAACAACTGTATTGATATTTAAAAAGGTAAAATAATTTTTCCAGGGTGTTTTTGACTCCATGAAAAAATAAGTCATTTTATTATTATTATTACTAAGGCAGGAAAGTTCAGAGCTGGAGAGATGTCTCAGCAGTTAGGAATACACGTTGCTCTCATGGAGGACTGAAGTTCAGTTCCCAGCACCTACATCCAAGAACTCACAACCATCTGTAACTCCCGTTCCAGGAGTTGCCTCTTTCCTCCTCAGGTACCTGCAGACACACACACACACACACACACACAAACACACACACACACTTCATATTTCTCCTTTCCCAGAAAGCTGCTTTCTCTTTTTTTTTTTCCTGAGACAGGGTTTCACTGTGTAACTTTTGGTGACTCCTTGAACTAGCTTTTGTAGACTAGCCCGACCTCAAACTCACAGAGACCCGCCCACCTCTGCCTCCCAAGTGCTGGGATTAAAGGCGTACACCACCACCGCCCAGCTCCCCAGCAGGCCTCTTGCTGGCTCCCCTGGTGGTGTGCAGGCTTCTTAAGGATAATGGTTTCAGGTTCATCCCTGGGCTTCCCTCTCCATAAAGGCCAGAGCTGCTTTCTGTGGTCACTACCCCTTTCCAATTCTCCATAATATATCTTCAAATCAAATTATCTCCATTAAAACCACTGACATCATTTCTGACGCCGACATGCCCTGTCACTTGTGATTGTTATTCCTTTAGTTCCACCAGAGCATAGGCAGGAGAGCTGCTGCAGAGGGGCAGGGAGGCGGGCCAGACTCGGCTGTGAGGGGTGTCTGTGCTGAGAAGGTGTCGTGTCTCTACCAGGAGCTATTGGATCACAACACTTTTGAATCACATAAGTACCCTGAACTAGAGAAGGCCAGAAATGTTCTCCAGATGAGGCAGAAAGCGGCTGAGGGACCTGAAGAACCGCAGCAGCAATCCACACTGACAAGTGACTGAGAAGCCAGGCAGGTGTGCGTGAGCCTCTCTTGATTCCTCAGAACACCGCATCCTGGGAGCTGTTATGAAGGAGAACACTTTTGATTGGGCTTCCTCTGCGTGTTTGAAGTTGCCATCATGATAATTCCTGCAATGGCCTGGACAGAAAAACACAAATGCCTCAGATAACTCACTTTTATTTTGTCAGCAGACACTGGGGTCTTACTGTGCACATATAGGAAAGGTCCCTACTGACAAAGGAAAATGAAAATATATCTGGCTTTACAAAGAATCTGATTGAAACGTGGTAAAAACTAGTGGTAAGGTTATTTTCTGATTCCCTGTTTTCCTATTATTAGTGAAGCAACTGGTCTTAAGCATTCTTACCTCTTCAAAGGCAGTTATTCAGACCTACTTGTGTCTTTAATTTGAATGTAATTTCCAGCATTTCCTTTCTTTGTCTTTGAAAAAATTTTGACAGTAGGCATCCTACACACACACACTTAAATGTATGATCTTTTTTTTTTTTTTTTGCTGTTGTTGTTTCTATCTGTCTTTCTTTTTTCGAGACAGGGTTTCTCTGTGCAATCCTGGTGGTCCTAGAACTCACTCTGCAGACCAGGCTGACCTCGAACTCAGAGATCTGCCTGCTTCAGCCTCCCAAGTGCTGGAATTAAAGGCGTGTGCCATCACTACCTGGTATGTCTTAAAGACGTATTTAAAATGCACATCATTGCCAACCACTAAAATCAGGAAATAAAATCTTAAAAGCAGTCTGAGCTGATCAGAGTCCTTAAGTCACATAAATTTCTACCTGGGCTTTTTAAATTATTGTTATTTTTATGTTGTTGCTTTTGTTATGTGCACCTACAAACCCAGCAGAGTTTGCTTTAGGTTGTCTTTAATTTTACGTTCCTATATTCACCAGCTCAGAAGGTGTATGAGGTACTTTCGTCATAGCTGTGACAAAATGACGGACAGCAAGAGAAGAGGTGATTGTTTTGGCATATGGTTTCAGCCCACAAAGGTGGGGAAGGCATGGCCGAATCTAAGGGGCCAGCATGGCACAGGCTCTGGGGTAACTGCAAAGCAGAGAACTCAGCAATAGGCTATAAGGCTATAACCCTCAAAGGCCAGCCCCAGTGACCCACCTCGACCAACCAGACCTCTGACCACACACACACACAAAAAAAAGCACCAGTGGGAACCAGGTGTTCAAACCCATGAGACCGAGTGGGACGTTTCAGATTTAAGTTGTCACAGAGGCATAAAAAAACATGCTTCCTTCGGGTGAACGCCTAAAACTGAGGTTGCAGGGAACTAGGTGTGCCTGCATAGCCCAGATAATGCCAAACCACCGTTTCCCTAAGTGCTACCTACCCAGTTCACACACTTCATCCAAATAAATCCCTTGGCCCTTGGAACTGGTGTATGTTTATCTGTTCGCTGTTCCTTTGGGTGTTTTAGCTTTTTGAGACAGGCTCTCACTCTCCTTATCCTCCAGCCACGCCCTCTGACTGTAGTTACTCCCAGGTGGCATCACCAACACGTAGCCAACTTTTCACCTTAAGATGCTCCTGCGGTGAGTGTGCTGTCCTGGGTGGCTTTAATTTTCCCTCTTCTGAATATTAGTGAATGAAGTTCCTTTCCGATGAAGGTCAAATGCTTATTGGCCATTTGTTCTCTTCTTACTCCCGCCTCTCTTCTCTCCTTGCCTCCCCCGCCCCTCCCCCGCCACACCCCAGTCAGCTACCCATCACTAACTGGGTTCCTTTCTCCCTCATGGTCTTGCCTACCCCAGCAGCATCACTGACCCAGGTCTCTCCTCCCTGCTTTTCCTCTTAGGCGGGGTCGGGGTGGCTGGACCTGAGCATCCCGAGCCGGGGGTTCCCCTCGCCCGCGCCGCGGGGCAGCAGGAGCGCTGGGCCCCGAGGCTCGGAGCGAGCAGCGCGGTGTTGGCCCTGGTCTCC